TTTTTTTTTGCGGAACCGGGGATTGAACTCAGGCCTTTGCACTTGCCAGGAAGGCACTTACTCTACTGAGTTATCTCCCCAACCCCAAGACTTTATATATTTAAAGCCCTTAAAAATATAAAATTAAATATCTCTAATGATAATAAGCAGATTAGAGAGAGTTCTGTAGATCAAAACACTAGCTCAACAGGATATATCCTTTCTAGATAGGAAAGCACAAAAGCATCCATAGCCCCATCCCCACTACATACATTGATGTTTAGTGTTTAGAAAACTCCTCTGAGCCTGAGTGCAATAGAGGAATCCTGCTTACACTCACGGTGGGACTTAGGATTGAGGCTGAATTCAGATGGGGAAGCGCAGTCCTCTGGGCGCCGCCCTTGCTCCAGTGCACGCAGTGAGCAGCAGAAGAACCCCTCAGAGTTGTACTCTAAGAAAATTGCCCCAGTGGGAGAGGAAGTGCGTGTTCCTGCCACTGTAAAGGTGTAAATTACCACCATCCTCTTGGAGAACAAGATTTTCATTTTTTTTCAAAAAAAATATGTTGAAGGTCTTTGATGTATGGCGTCCTAGTTTGGGCTTTGGGGATATAGCAATGGAAAGAGAAAGGCAGGATGAAGCTGACACTGGTGGGGAAGAAAGTTAAAACTAGAAAACCAAAAGGATAACAAGCGCTGCAAAGCAAATGTGTGCAGAGGAGGTGGAGCAGCTTAGGCCTGAAGGAGAACCAGGGGCCAGATAAGGCCTCGAAGAGTAACCTAGCCAGCAAGAAAAGAGCACTCCCAGGGTCCCAAGGAAAGGTGTGGGTTCCAGGGGGTCACACAGCTGTGATGGAGCCAGCCAGTGTATGAGGCTAGCAGGGGCCCCAGGCCAAGGATTCTTTATCACACTACAGTGGGAGCAGTCAGTCTCCAAATTCAGAGGAGAGTGAGACTCATTTCAGAAAGGGTTTCATCTGCTATCAGGATTTCTAAGGCAGGCTGACACAGAAGCAGCACTTAGCAGTGAACCTGAATTTGTACTGTTGCTGCTCCCCAGATTGCCTTGGAAGGTGGCCCACACTAAGAACAGTGCGGCATCCTGGCTCCCTGCTCCAGGCTGACTGACTTATTAATTACTTTTGAGAGAATCACAGGGTTCTTTCGGTCACTTCTTGTCCTGAGATGTGCCGACCCTATATTTTGGAAGACTCTTGGTCTGGCAAAGTCTTTCATGAACTCGTTTGGTCTTATTTGTTGAGGGGAGGATAGCTGCAGACCCTGTCAGCGCTTGTGCATCCTGGAAAGTAGGCACAGCGTAAATGGGCAGCAGAACGCGAGAGTAATGTCTGTGCAGAAGACATTGGGAAATGCACATAGCAGGGGAAGCTTAGCCAGGGCAGGCTTCTGAGTCGGCCTGAGGGCCTGAGGGGTCAGTGAGCCTTACGGGAGGAGAAAGGCAGAGAGAACCAGAGCAGTGGCCCTCAGAAGGGCAGGCAGGTGGGTTCAGGAAACACAGCAGCCAGGTGTGCACAGCTGGCTGGGTGGGAGAGGCAGGTGCTGTCCTCTAGGCTTCCCCTGGCCCCAGCTACAGCGACCACTCAGACCTGGATTTCTGACCTCAGTCGTGCTAATGAGCCTCAATCATGGGACTTCAGCTGGAGTTACTGGGAGAGAGCAGCGATTCTTCTGCAGGAGGACCTTGAGGTGAGCTACGAAGGAAGCCGGTCTAGGGAGAAAAGGGATAGATTCCTGAGGACATCACTTAGCTTCCTGTCTAGTGGCATCTGAAGTCCGTCCACTCTTAGCTTTTCACCACACAAGCCAATGTATCCGTTTTGCTTAAGCTAGAGCAAATTGATTTCCTTTGACTTGCAACCAGAAGTCTTTTGTCTAATACAGCAATATTGAAAATGCTTTATGTATAAAGATGTGGAGTGTAGCATTATGATGGCAAATACAGAGCAACCTGAGTCCCATGAAGGTTAGAGGCATACATCACAGAGCAGGACACACCCATCGTGGCTGACAGCACAGCACTTGGCACGACAGGATGAAACGTCCACTCTAAGTACGAAGTAGAAATTCTGTGTACAGCCTGACTGCGATTGTGTAAATACAGTCTCAAAAGCAGATGGAACAAAATGCGAGTTCATACAAAGTCAGTGCAAATGGTGGATCTTTTTACTTTTATTTTTATGCATTTTTTATTATTTTATTTTTATGCTCCCAATTTTTGTAGGGTAGATTTTATAAATTTTAACCAATTGTAAATGAGGATATTGGAAAGAAATAAATGGCTTCTACATGCAGAAGTGCCTCAGTCTGTCATCCGAAAGCATGTAGGGTACTGAGCGTCACCCCACCACAGGGATGTGTACCACATGCCCTGTCAGCCGTCTATGATGGCACAAGCCCGGACACAAGCACTATCTGTCCAGAGACAGCAGAGTTATTTTAGGAGTGCTACAGCTCTGGTGCCCAGGCAATTGATTATGAGACCAGGTGACCCCGAGCTAAAGCTCCTTCTGCTAAAAGGAGTTTATTTCTTGTACCCTGTCAAGCCTTATACTGAAACAGTAAAATGATGACTATCAAAGTGGGAACTGTTGCTTGTTATGGTGTAATTTTTTTTTTCTGCAAAAGCTTTCAAAGCAAACAGTTTGCTGTTTTGCAGGTCATATTACAAAAAGAATATGCATGTAGCTGTGGGCTAGTATGGAATCAGGAGAAGCTGCAGCAGTCACCATTACCAAGCTCATAATTACTATAATTTAGACTTGAATAATTTTAATAAATTTAAACATTTTGGCATCCTTAGCCATAATCAATTTTATTCTCTTCCTAGCACTACTTAACAGTTTTCTGGATCATCGGTTGAAAATTCAATAAAATTTATTCTTGGGGTCAGAATAGAGGATACTTTTGAAATTACCCATTACTTCATTTTGAATGCATTTTAAGATTTTGAACAAAATTTACCAATCTTATTTCTCAGTTCAGCCGTTTTGAGTTACATGGAGACAAACATGGCAAGGATTTTATAGCAGGATAAGGATTTGTTTTTGTTTTTCAACATTCTTACAGTTCAGACAGCTGAAGAAATCTTTGATCTACAAGTCTTGGAAATTCAAAGACTCCTCAAGGCATTTTTTTTTTTCAAATTAAAGAATAAAAACAGTATTTGTAATGGAAAGTTTTGATGCCATTAAGCACTAACAGCTTTTACTTAAGCCTGTAATTCATCTTGTGGATTTAAGAGTTTGACCAAGAGTAGGCTTTAGGTGTGATACAGCCCTCTCCAAGACTTGCTAGTGTTACTGATATGCAGAGCGGTGGAAAAACAGCTGGCATTACTACAGAATTACAGCCACTGGTCACAGGGATTGTGTTAGAAGGAAAGGTCTAAAGGACAAGAGACAAAACAATGAATTTCAAAAATCCATTAATGAAGTGTGGTGGCACACCTCTATAGTCCCAGCACTCAGGAAACAGAGGCAAGGAGAGTGCCACAAGTTTGAGGCCAGCCTGGGCTACATAGTGTGTTCAAGGACAGCTTGAACTATACAGCAGGGTCCTGTCTCAAAAAATAAAAGTGCTCTCAAATTAATGGAATTCTTATACCACCTCTAGTTAAATTAGAACATTAGGGAAATTGAGGAAATAGCTCAGTGGTCTAAGCATCTGCCTGGCAAGCATGAGGACCTGGGTGCAATCCCCAGGACCATGCTGTGCTGGACCCTGACCCTAAACCCTAGGCACGCTGTGCCAACCACTGAAACTGGGTGTGGTGGCTCACACCTTTAATCTCAGCCCTGTGGAGGCTGAGACAGGAGGATCACTGCAAGTTTGAGCGCAGTGAGACCCTGTACCAAGTAAATAAATAAATAATTTAAATTGTTTTTTAAAAAAAGAATGTTAGGGAGTCAAAAATACAGAGAATTTGGAAAACCAAATGTATCCAGAATCCTCCTACCAACCTTGAAGTTTTATAGACATCATTCAAATTTCCACACCCACTAACTGCCCAGTGCGAAGGACTTTTATCCTGTAGCTCTCTGGTCCTTCACAGCTTTAGTCCCCTTCTCTCCTGTGTAGTAAATCTCTTTTGTTACTTGGGTAGACATCTCTACTTGCAAACTTGAACCTTGTTCTTTCACCTGGTTTCAAAAGCTTTGTCTCCAGGTGGTGACACCGGGAGCCACATTGTGACCACCAGGGTAGGCCAACCTGGAGTGGAGAAACTCAGGCCTCAGTTGAACCCTGTTGGCATAAAGGAAAGTCATCTTCTAAGACTTGGGAGCTCATGGACCGGCTCCGTGCCTGGGTCCAGCTGCCTCTGCCTGCTCCTGGGTCCCTGTACTGTGTGCTCATGTGGGAAGCCATGCCTAGCAGCTTGCTCACTGCTGTCCCAGACCTCCTGCCTGGGAGTCCTCCAGGCAGGGCAGAGACCTCCTACTCCATCACCACACTGTTTCATACCTAACCGACACTCAGTATATGCAGAATCAGTTCCAGAAAGAATACCGTGATTGACACTGTGAGGCATTATAACCTCTCCCAGCCCTGACTGGCAAGTGTTGGTCTTTCAAATGTTTCTACTATTTTTCAAATATGTTTTTAAAAATAAACTTTTGCTTTTTATTTTCCAAGTTGAGGTTTGAAGGGCTTGATGGCAGTAGCCTGGCAAAGTGCAGAGAGTGGCCCAGTCAGGGTGGGCTGGCGCTGTGGTCTGATGCCCTGTGACAAAGGGCCATTGGTTTGATCCCTGTGCTTTTTTTCTAACCACAGAGCACATTCCTGGGCCTAGTGAGCTGGGCAAAACGTGGACACCATTCAACACAAATCTATC